TATTCACGTATATATATATATATATATATATAAATGATTATACATAAGAGATTATATAGGTAAAACATATAAAACTTTAAGCATAACTATCAATTTAAAACAAAAACACTACATATAAAAAGGTATACAATATTTTAAATTTATTTCAGAAATCGTTCCGAAAGTTCTGGAACACATCCTGATTGCTTGTAACTACCCAATTGTACAACGCGCACACTTTCCAATACGAACAATGTTCGTGCGGGTAACGATGGTAGTTGCAAGTAATTTGCTCGCTGCAATCCAGACGTCGGTAAGGGGGGCACCCGTATTCTTCCATGTCCTGGCATGGTAGGCCTAGGTGTCATTGCAACAACTGTGCCTTCTCCCTACCTTTGGTGTAGATCTTAACATAGTCCTGTCTTATCCCCTGGCGAATCCGTAGGAAGTCCAGCATAGTGTGATCGCCATCATTCCAACGGAGACCATGGAGATATACAGTACACCATAGGACGTGCCTCTTGTCTGCGTCGCTCGGACGATCTTCCGGGTATGGGGGCCTGAAGCATTAAACGTCAGTCCAACCTGATCGGCAGTCTCTTACAGCTAATTCTTTGATCAGGTACAGCCCGTTGATCCGAAAACCTTCCATTTCTACGATGGCAGCTCTTTGTCTTTGTTTCCTATGATTATTATAAGAACGGTATTATTGTTTGTCCCAGTGAAGGCTTATACAGTCACTTCACTCGCTCTTTTGTTCATCATAGTCACACACCCGCCCTTCTAATACATCTGGCTTTCTGTTCGCACTTGTTATTCAAATCACTTCAATCACTCTATTCACAACACTTCAATTCACTAACACACTCTTAATACTTGACATCTGTTGATAGAAGTTCCTGTCCTTGCGTTCAGTTAATTTCTGGATTCGTTGTACTGTCTATTTTCGTCTACTGGTCATAAGTTTCGTTTGTCTCTTACTTCTGGTCACTGTCTGTTATTTCTGTCCTTTCTCAAATTCTTCTTATTTCCAGTTATTGTCTATTTTTGTCTTTCTCGCACTTTCTATGCCTAATAATTTTGACTATAATTTGACTATTATCATCTTTTAGAATCAAACTAACCTCGCCAATTGGTTATATCTAGATAATTTTGTAATCAACTAAATAATCAAGCTATATCCTGATTAGATGGGGCCTACTCATTCAGTTCTACTATTTCAGTAGCTTCTGTTCTTGTTCTTTTCTTCTTTCTAGCTTTACATAGCCCATCTAATGCCATTAACTTTACTAAAGCCAATTTATCTCTTTTGGTATACAATATTATGCTTACTAGTATTACTACCAAGCATAAGGTTATCATCATCGAGTTAGATAATCTCCAGTTATCTAACTTCTGTTTTCCAGCTGTAGCTCGTAATCGGTCTACATGCTGCTGGAAATCCTTAAGACTTAACCCTGACTTTCTAAGAGGTAAATGTTTAGTGTCCTCTAGTAAATATTTTAATCCTTTAATATCTGTATCTATACTCTGAATTAACTGTAATTCCTTTTTTGTTTGTAATTCTGGAATCCTTATATTTAGTCTAGTCCCTATATACTTAGTTTCACTTCTAATGTTAGAAGGCAAGGTTATACCTTGACCATGAGCTGAACAGTTTCTAGCTAATTTTGGCTAACCACTATTGTTTAACTTAATTACTCTAGTATAGTAATCAAACTGATGTACGTTTGACTTTGGACATACAACTGAGAAAGTTCATCTTTAACGTTAAATAACCAAATTCCTGGGGTTCTAGTTTTATAAAAATAGAATGGTTTAGGAATGATCATTCTCTTTTCACATAGTTCAGACATTCTATTCTTAATTCCTGTGAATATCAGACAGCCGCTGTTAAGGATACTCTAAGAATGTTTATAGAAATACCATTGAAAGCAACTGACAGAATGTTTAAACTGTATAAGATTATATCCTTACCGATAGCAATAAATCATTCACTAGCTTTAACTATAGAGAACGATAAACCATACATTGCTGTCTCGAGTGATCAACATACATATGTTGAAATGACAGAAGAAGATATGTTAAATTGCATAGACAGACAGACCTATCAGAGTTTGTATCCTAACTCAGGTATGTATTCAGTACCTATTGTAACTTGTAATTATTTTTACGTCAGCCCATGTATAATACATATAAATTTGGTCAGTATCAGTAGGTATTACAAACTGTAAGTGAGGAGATAATCTCCTTTCAATTTCGTCTAATACTCTTTCTAATTTACTCGGTGGTAAAAAGTAAGAACTTAGCTTTTTATCTGCAGCTACATACAATGCTTGTATTAACTTAGCTAACTCTGTCCTGCTACTTCCTACAGTAAAAGATAACTGTTGTAGGTTATTCTGAATTCTGGTGTTAAAAACCAACATTTCTATTCCTGCTTTATGTAACTCAGTTTGTCTTATTTTCGTGTGTATTAATGCATTAGTAATATTTACTAAAGCTTTAGATAATTTTCTGATTTCCTGGTCATGTAATTCAAGTGTTTGATTTAACGAATTCATTATAGTTGCTTGTTCTCCTATTAAGTGAATCATTTCTTTAGAAACCTGTCACTGTTGTTCTACCTTTTCATTTAAGTCTTGCAAATCGTCAGTGGTTGCTGTTCCAAATAGAAATGTTAGAATACTTCCACCTGCATTTATTAACCCTCGTCTTTGTCTAGTTCTGTCAGATATACACACGCTATCCTTAATGTCTTTTAATTCCAGTAATAGTTCACCTATCTCGTCGTAATATTGTCTAATTAAGGTCTTGTAATTTTCAATTAGTCCTTCCTGTAATATCCTAGCTAACTGCAAGATAGCTGTCCCTTGATTTCTCATGTGATATAATGTCACATTCGCTGAACCTTCTTCACTAAAACTAACACGAGTTTTCACATTCAACGACCTTTCAAACAACACCAATTCTTCCTGTAATCTTATCAGTAATCTAACATACTGTGGAAATGGTATATCTTCCGCGATTATCTATTTATCACCAGATAATATGAAATTTCCTTCTTCAACAAAGATTACACCTACCTTGTTTTCTACTGCCACAATACTCACATTCTGTCCGGTTTCAGTTTTCGTCAGCAACAGTATAAGAATCCTAAAGATATATCCACCAAATAATACTATTAGTTACCTATAAAATATCTAACATTTAAACATATAACAAATATAATAACCAAAAGTATATATATCTTATTTACAACTTCGCAAGTAATCTATCATGTTATTAAAAGCATTAATAACACTGGCTTCGTAAGATACAGTGTTAACTGTATTTACGTTATTTTTAGGCTTGTGTACGACCATTTTCGGATAGAATCGTACTCGTGATCTAAGATTATAATCATGGGTCACTACATCAGCTTGTGTCGTTGATGAGGTACTAGGGATATTATCCTCAGTTACTATCCTCATTGTTAGGGGTAATAACTGGTGTATCTTCTGTTGTTATTAACTTATCACCTAGTATTACGTTATCTTCTCTTTCTACCCTTAGTATTTCTGGTTCTGGGTCTATTATTTCTTCTTCATCATAAAAAGAAGAATCAAACTCATTCAAGTTATCAGCTTC